GCCGGGCCTGCCCTGGCGCCCCTCGAGCGCGATGGGGGCCCTCCGCCTGGGTCGCCCTCGACTTTCGGCGCGCCTTGTTTGCGCGGCCATGGGTGTCCTCAGAGTCGGTGATCGACCAGCTGTTTTCGGGGCTTGAGGCGATTGAGCTGGCGCGGAATGCGTCGGCGCATGCTTGGCGGGTGTCGTTTGGCAATGTGCAAGGCTGTTCGTTCAGCGGATCGACGCGCGCCGCTGCCGCCTCGCCCTCTCCCTCGATCGCCTTCATATGATGGCCAGCTCGAACGGCGGCGAGCGGGCGTGGCCAGAGCCTGCGCTGACGACGCCAGGTGCGCGGTTGAAGCTCTCCTCCCTGGCCGCGCAAGCGGGCGTCGCGGCGGCGGCCGCGGCGGCGGCTGCTCTCGCCCTCTGCCCGGGCAAGTGCGAGCTAGCGCCTCTGCGTCGCGAGTTTTCTGACAAGGTTGCCGTCCATGTCCGCGCTGCCCTTCGCGGCGCCGTCGCGCTGATCTTCGCCGACATATTTTGGTCGCGGGCTCTCTGGCGCATCTGGGGCTGGCCCTTGGCCCCGCGGCCGCCGCGGACTCGCGTTGGATGGCCCCTGCTCTCATGGCGCAGACGCGATCAAAGCTCGAGGGGCGAAGCAATCTCCCCGTCTCGCGCCTCGCCGTGCACCGCGGCCCCCGCGTCGTCGCGGTCTTATCCCACGTGGCCCAGTAACGCCTCGTGCCCAAGTGGCTCATCAATGGCGAGTTGATCGCGCTTGCCCGCGTGTTTCGTGCCCCGCTCGGCTCCTCCGACGTTGCAGCGTGGGCTCAGCCACGCGCCGCGGGCGGCCCCGCGGTCTCGCCGCGGCTTGCCAGAAGTTTCGGCGCGCACTCGCGTAGTGCCCACCGCGCCCTCCACGAATGTGCTCGGCTGCGCGCGTGCCTTCGCGGGCAGTGCCGGCGCCCGGACTTGCGCCCCCTTGCGCAGGTCGCCGCGGCGCGCCCCTGCCCCGCGCCCCGGCGCGTTCGCTGAGGCCCTCCGCGACGCGATGCAGGGCCGGGTCAACGCGGCCGTCTGCCCGCCCGATCTTCGCGCCCGCGCGACTGCTTCGTTGGAGGGGCCTCTCGCGGGGCGCAACGTGCAGCGAGCTATTTCCCATAGGGGGTCAAACGTCTGATAGCCCCTGCGCCCGCTCTGGAAGCGCTTCGCGCCGCGGCTCACTTCCTGCCCCGACCCGCGCGAGATCGGCTTCGCCAAGGGGCCGCGGTCGAGATGGCAGGGCATGTGAAAATGCATGCGCGCAAGCCCGGCCTTGTCGGCCATCTCGCATGTCCCCGCGGCGGCAAATGCATGGGCGACTTCTCGCCGCGTCATGGGCGAGTTTTTTTTTGGGGGGGAGGCAGGCCCCCCGGTTCGGATGTCCTAATGCACCTGGTAAGCTGCGACGCGCTTTTGGGCATCCCAGGCCCAGGGCGTTCGTCGAGCACGCCGTTGGTTACCTCGCGCTCGACATCCTCCAGGGCGGCTCGGATTGCTCGGCGGCGCGGTCGAGGTAAACGACATGGTCCCCGATGCCGCGATCGTGCGCTTCGCGTGCCTCGCGGCGCCCGGTCTTCCTCGTCTGCGAGGTCACGCGCGCTGGTGGCCCCTCGCTCTGTTTGTCTTGGCACGACCTCCCCTGATTGATTTCTTTCAGTTCCAGACCGCGGGCCCCTCCTCATCATCGGCGAGCTCATTGACCTCTTCCTCGCCCGCAACCTTGCGGAGCCTAAGCTCTTCGCTTTCCGCGAGCGGAAAGTCCGCGGAGCCCCGCTCCTCGTGGCCCCTTCTTGGCTTCATGGGGCGCGCCCTTGAAGTTGCCGTCGACGGTCGCGGCGAGCTCGGGCGGGGGGTTATTTCGGCATCTGGTCCGTTGCCTGACGTTCATTCTCGCGCCGCCGCTGGACACGCCGATGGCCCCCCCTGCCTCTGGTCGCGATGCTGGCGCTGGTGGCCATGCTTGCCGCGCGACGGCGGGGGCCCGTTGTGTCGGGGCCCAAATTCCCGAGCTAGTAGCTAGCCCCTCCTGGGCGCTGTCTTGAGCCCCGTCGCTTTCGGTTTTGCTGGGGCGCTGAATCCCGCGCCAGCGCCGTGGGCGCTGATGCGATTTCTGCTGCTTCGCGTTTTCCTCTGAGGGCGTTCGCGCGCTCTCCCCGCGTCGTCGTGCTATCTCGCGATGGCCCTCGGTTCCTCGCGCAAGTTGCCCATCGCAGTCGCTGGGGGGCTTCCCGGGCACGCGTCCCACTGGGCGGCGAGCTGGCCCCCCTCTGTATTCTACGCCATGCCCGTGGCCAACTTCTTCCTGGCTCGACTGGCACGTGGACTACGTTTGCGGCATCCTTCATTCAGACAAGGGCCTTTTTCGCCGCCAGGAGACAGGCAGCTGCGGGGATGCCTCGCCGGGCAGTGAATTTCCGCCATTTCCCACGAGATCATTTGACGGCAAATCCTTGAGCGCACCCCTACCATTCTGCAGCTTCATGCTGTCGGTTTGTCATTTTGTCCGCCGCCACATGCGGTTGCTGGACTGGAGGCCCGACCCCTCTCGCATTGACTTCGACGCCCGTGCTCGATTTCTTCCTCGGGTCGCGAACGGGGGCGCCGGGCCGCGGAGAGCGTCGCCGCGTGCTTCGCCTGGGCTCGATCCACGGCGTGCGCCGCATGGCGTCTCGTGGGACGACTTGGGCGTTGACCCGCTCGAGCCCGACGTGCGTTTGATGCCGCCTGTCTCGAAGTCCGACGAGTGCTCGGCCAGCGACAGCGGACGGCAACGTGATGGCGGCAATCCATCTCCCGCCGATGTTGATATGGCGGTCATGGGCGCCACCGGCGATTCGCTGAACGATGACCTCGCCCCCCCGCCTCCACGCGAAGACAAGTGCATGTCGGATCGCGAGTTCGACCGCGTCTTCGGGTCCTGCGCGAGACCCCCGCCGCCATGCGAGGGTCGGGGGGTGGCGTCGGCGGCGCTGTCCACTTCCAGCACTTTTGCGTCGTCGTGGCTCGCAAGCAGCTCGACAGACCCTGCGCCGTCTGGTTGCGATTCGGATGTGCTGAACTGGCTCAATCAACCTCCAGTTGTTCCTGGTGTACAACGCACGCACGACGAGGGTCATCCGCGCGGTGCCCTTTTACCGGCTATTCAAGCTGCTTTCCAAGTTTCCCTCGATGCTCTTGCCCACTGCGTTGGTGTCCACGCGCGTATTATCATACCTGGAGATGGTCCTGGCGATCCCGGCGGTGAGTTGTCGCTGGGCTTCTTCGAGATCGCCGCGGCGGAGGACATGGTCGAAAAGAGCGACCGCGACGGGCGCGTCATCGGCTCGATTGCCATTGTCTTCCCCGACTTCTGTCCGATGGGCGCGGAGGTGCGTCATCGAGGAGACCTCACTGGCCATATTTTTCTGGCATCACCGCGCCGCCGACCGCGGCGACGCTGTCTATTACTACGACGACCTCTACGACGGCCTCTTCAACTTCGCCCTCGTCGGCCTGGACAATCTCGAGAGCCTTAGTGGCTCGGCGCTTCCGCGCCCGCAGCGTCCGTGGGCGAAGTCGAACCGCCTCCAGGGACGCACGCTCCTCCTTCTCCTCCTCCTCCTCCCTCCCCATACCCCTCCTCCTCTTTTTCTTCTTCTTCTTCTTCTTCCTCCTCCTCCTCCTCCTCCTCCTCCTATATCATCATCATAATCATCATCATCATCATCATCATCATCATCATCATCATCATCATCATCATCATCATCATCATCATCATCATCCTCATCCTCATCCTAATCCTCATCCTCATCCTCATCCTCCTCATCATCATCATCATCATCATCATCATCAGCATCATCATCATAGTCATTTTCATCCTCTTCCTCCTCCTCCTCCTCCTCCTCCTCTGCCTCGTCCTCCGCCCCGTGCTCCTTGTGCTTCTGCTCCGAGGTTTTCAGATGTGTGGGGCTCCTTTTCGCACCTCCGGAGGCCTCCGGGGAAGGCCTCCCAGCATCTGGAGACCTCTTGGGGGGGCAATGGAAAAGGACGGGATGGACAGGGAGTCTCGAGGAGGCTCAAGTGGCTTCAGGGGGCGTTGTGGGCGTCGCAGGGGTCTTAAGGTGCCGTGCGTCATGCTTTTGCCGGCTGTCCCTTCTTTACGGGAAGAGGGGAGGACTCGGATGTTCGGGCGTCGCAGAAGCATTACATATTTATAAATTTACATGCGATTTGGGCCAGCGCCCGTTTTCGTGCCCAGAGTTATCAGAAGGGGTGAAGACTTCTTTGCAGCCTCCCGGCCAACGAAGATGGCGGCAAGGAGGGGCCCAAACGTCCTGTGATAACTCACACACTCATCATGGCGGCGCCAATTTCCATCCATGCGTTTTTTCCGTCCTCCTCCCGCCTTTTCCCGCCTCTTCCTGCTCCTTTTCCTCCTCCTCCTCCTCCTCTTCCTCCTCCTCCTCTTCCTCCTCCTCGTCCCTCCGTAGCCATTTTGGCTCAAGGCCAACATGGTGTCCATTTCACTGCATCAGCGGGGTAGGCTCCCAGTTTCATTTCCAGCATTCAATATTTCTTCCATATTGAAGCCCTGTCACGCGACAGGCACTCCATATTCCCAGTCCTGCGGCGCGCGGCGCGTAGCGGGCCTCTACAGCATCCGGCGCCCAGGCAGACTCTGTCCCAACTCGGTGTCCCTCCCTCCCCCCCTCCCGTGCTCTACCATGCATCGCGTACCCTCTCGCGATCATTGTCCTGCTCGACAGCCGACTGTGCGAATAGAGGGGATGTCTACGCCATGGTGACGGATGGGAGGGAAGGGTAGGACGTCAGATATGACGCGAGCGCACCTAGCTTGCCCTTCCCCCTCCTCCTCTCCTCTTCCTCCTCCTCCTATTATTCCTCCTCCTCCTCCTCCTCCTCCTCCTCCTCCTCCTCCTCCTCCTCTCCCTCCTCCCCTATGATGCCTCCCTTTCTTCCTCCTGCCCCCCCCCTCGCAGGTGCAGCAGGGCATGGCGTGGGCGGCCCAGCCGGCCGTGGTGGGCCAGCCCGTCGCCGCCCAGCGGCCCGTGGTGGCCGGCGCCGTGGCCCCGTGGCGCGCCAAAGGAGGATGGAAGAGGGAGGAGGAGGAGCAGGAGGAGGGGAGGAGGAGGAGGAGGAGGAGGAGGAGGAGGAGGAGGAGGAGGAGGAGGAGGAGGAGGAGGGAGGGAGCCGACTGGACGCAACAGTGACCTTTGGCTGGAGTGGCCTCTGGTGCGGGCCCAATGGGGCCCTCCGATCGCCGAGCGCGAGGCGGCAGCAGCGCTCTGCGCGCCTGGGTGTGGCCACACCCCGCGTCCCCCAACAAAATCGCGCCCCAAAGGTCGCTCTTACCCAGGGTCACTATTGCGTGTACTCGAGGGAGGGAGGGAGGGAGGGAGGGAGGGAGGGAGGGAGGGAGGGAGGGACCCAGACATGATCGCGTCGTAAAACAATCAGGGCGGGCGTTTTTTCGCCATCTCCGGCCCCTGGGGGGCCCTCGCCGGGCCCTGGGCCGTCAACAAAAAGGCTCGGGACGGACAGCCAGTCCTGGGGAGAGGGTCGGGACTTCTGGGGACGCCGTCCTGAAAAGATCAGGACGTCGCATGTTTGGGGAGGGAAGGAGGGGAGGAGGGAGGAGGGTGTGTCCTGTCGCCGGTAGCTGGACGGGCTGTCGCCCCCCGTCTGGGTGCCGAAAGACCCCTGATGTGCACACCCCTAGGACTTCTAGACGCTTCCCCACTACCTCGTGATCGTCGGACCGACACGATCCTCGACTGGGGATGTGCGTCGCGCCATTTTGGCAGCGTCCTCCCTGCTTCCTGGGTGGCTGTTTCCCTTCAGACTCCCTGGGCTGCAGCTTGCACCGCCGCCTGATCCGCGGCCCCCGCGCGCGCCCGGCTAATTTGTCACGGCCGCAGCCCGACCGTGTCCCGCCGCCGCCGGCGCTTCCGCCTGCGGCTGTAAAAAAAAAGACCTGGGGGCCTCAGACTGACGAGAGAGAGTCGGGCCGGGCGAAAGGGGGGGATTGGGAAAGGGGGGGTTACGAAATTTGCTGCATGCAGCTGGTTTCGGCCTCACCGAGGGGCCTATTCCTTGATACATGGCCGCCTCCGGCGCCGGGAGGCGCCGGGAAAGTCAGCTACGTGAGCTGATTCTCAAACCCCCCCTTTGCTATCCCCGCCTTTCGCCCGACCCGAGAGAGGTTTCAGTGTGGCCCTCAACGAGGAAGCCAACACAGCGTCTCACATGGCCGTAGGGGTGTGTGCCCAGACTCCTGGTTGATCGAGCCCGGACAGCGTGTGGAACGCGACATCCTCCTCGAGGCGCGTCTTCACTAGGAGGGGATTTTGACCGGCTTCTGCTCTCTTTCGGTGGCCTCCTGGACGGTGCTCGCTGTCACGGCCAAGTCTGGCCAGAATGGATTTCAGGAGGGCTCGAGGGATTGATCTTGAACGAACCCAGCGGCAGTTGCCGGCGGCGCGCCAAGGCGAATAGGACGAGGGGGCGACCCTCCTCTTCTCCCCCCCTCCTCTTCTCCCCCCTCCTCCTCTTCTTCCTCTTCTTCCTCCTCCTCCTCCTCCTCCTCCTGCTCCTCCTCCCTCTCCAGAGACATCTGGGTGGAATGGGGGTCCGAGAAGGCAGGGGGCTGAACTGGTCAAGAACTTCTAGCGTGCGCGGGCGATCTCTCCCGAGCATTCCCTTTGGGTGGAGGGCAACGGGTGAAATCTGAAATGCCGCTCCGATGAATTCTCGAGGCTTGAACATTCAACAGGTGAACCACACGACGGATTGATTTTCGAGGTGTGCGCAAGCCCATGTGGATTTCACCCTGAGCCCTCCACCCTGAGCACATGCTCGGTTCTCCGCCATCGCCAGGCCCCCCGCAGCCTCGTGCGGCGCCCTTGGCTGCTCTCCCCCCCCCCGCCTCCCCTCCCTGGGCGCGCCGAGAGGGGGGCTCCGACGCCGGCGGAGGAGCCGTCCGCTCCGACGCCTGTGCTCGTGCTGTTTTTTTTTTGTCCCCCGCCATTCTTCAGGAGGGAAGGAGAGCACAGACACAAAAAATCGTCACCCCCCCAGAAAAGATGGGGAAGTATGGGAAGTGGGGGGGAGACGGAAACCCAGACAATGTGGGAACATATGGGGAATCCCGTTATTCGTGTTTGTTTATTGGTGTGTCTCCCAGGGCCCCCTCAATTCTGGAGGATGCAGGGGGCTTCCTGCGATCAGGAACTGTGGCTCGGCGTGTCGCGCCGTCGGTTCTGGCCCACCACGCGTCGGCGCCACAGGCCAACCACCTCCAGTCACCAGGCGCCAGCGTCCCTTTGCCGTTCCCGACCCCCGCGGCACGCTACAAGCAAAGGTTACCGACCGTACAGGTGCATGGGGGCTCTTGAAGGGACCGGCCGCTACTCGCAGGAGGGGTGTGCCCTCTCGGAAGACCGCCCCCTCGCCCCGTGTTCTTGTGCGCGCCGTGAAGGTCGCTCCCAGCAGCAACAGCACCCCCTCCGGGTACGAGATGCCCAAGTGA